TGTATTGTTTATTTGCTCGCACACTTATTGGTCAGATAATCATTTGTCAGGCAATCATTTTTTGCTTTCAATGCCCAAAACTTCCAGTTTTAGACTTTCGGCTGTCTCGAATTACTAGCATTTTGAAATTATTTTTAATGCTTTCGAAAATTTTTCACTCACCGAATTTTTTCCAATTGTTTGGTTTAAATGAACAAAAAGGCATTTTTTGAATAGCTGAAAAATCAAGGTTAGTCGAGGAAGATGAAATGGATGAAATGCATATTGATCGATGTGATTTCTTGCCGATTCTGAAAAATATTGAAATTTACCAATACATGATGCAAAATTTTTAAAGAGGCTGATATTTTTCGTTGAAATAAATTAAACAGTGTTTGATGAATGAAATTTGTGATGGACGGAGATCACCAAAGAATTTTTGTTGGAAACTGTCAAAGGATTATATCTGTAAATGCTTATAAAGGTGGGAATGACTAACAATGAGTATTAATAAGTCATGTTTAACAATAAAATAGCAACAATTGATGTTTAATCTATCATAGTGAATAATTTCATTTCAACTATTATATTGAATTATGACAAATGATTTATGCAAAGCATTGGCTACATTATTCGAAGAATTTCATTTCAGTTTTTCCATGCATTCAAAATTGGGATAATATTAGAGTGAAGGAAAAATGTTGTGAAATATATTATTGATTAATATGTGGAAAAATATATTACTGATTCTCATCCTAAAAAGAATTTTTCATCAAATGGTAAATTAGAACTGATATTATGTCATTGCACACACTCTCATATAATTTCAATTAGAAAAAAAAGGTTCCAGTCTGAACTTTTGCAACATAAATTAAAATGATTCAAATTTCAACTTACACATAAAATAAACTTTGTCAAAACTAAATTGAAACAACTGGAAGAGTAAAATTTATTGAATTGCGAGAATTCGACTGAACAGCAGCAACTCCAAAATGATTAATCCATCGGAAAACATCTAAGAGATCCATTTTAGCAATTCATTGTCAATTAATTAAATCCTAATTTCTGTAAGATCTAATAATTGAATACTTTTTAGAAATGAATTATTTAAATAATTAAAATATTCAGAAGAACTAGAAGAAAGGTGAGATGAAACAAAGTAAAATAGTATATAAATTAGTGGATACAATTCAGAAATGAAATAGCATAAGTTGGAGTGAATGTTTTCGAGCATAACGATTTTCATTTAATGCTAATTTTTAATTTAATTTCATTGATCGATTCAACGATTCTTCGTAGAGATGAGTTAATAAATTATGCAATCTGATGAACATCCATTACAAACGCGACAAGTCATCATAACCCCTGGATGACCTCATCAAATTGCCTTCTCATTTCATTGTTCCAATCTTAATTATTATTTTCTTCTTTCTATAGATTTTTAGGGCGGGAGTTGCATCATCCTGAAATATTATTCGGATCTTTTTCTTTTCATTAAATGCTTTCCTATTTAAATTTTCAAAATTAACGATCTGAAAAGGTTTTAAAAAATCAGTTCTTAAAACTGGTAACAAGAAACTCATAACATTGCTTTTTATTTTCTCCCACTGTTTGGTACGTATCTCAAACTCATTTCAATTTTCAACAAATTTTTTAAGGCATTCTTTCTGAGATAACATCATGAACGGATATGTTAAATATGCTTAATGCATGTCCGTAATAATTAAATTTAATCATTACAATACAATGTAAGTGTTTATTTGCCTGCTTCGTTTTAATTCTAACTTATTCTTATCATTTCAATTTATTGTTTCATTTTTGAAGTTACCACATATGAGATGAAATTTAAATTGCAGGAAAGTTCCAATTGAAAGTTTAAAATTTGAAAAAGTTTGTGATATAGACGCAATGAAGTATGCGGCAATTATAGGTTTGAAATTTTATCAAGTTAGACTAAAAAATAATAAAGAATCTGCTATCGATCAATGCTCATTTAGATAGTTTTTGGAATTCCGTATATTTATGGAATCAGGTCAAAGCATAAAAATCCGATTAATTTCAGTTCATTGTGAAAAAAGAAAACGATTGCAGGAATTTTTGAGCGTGCTAGAAGAGATAATGAAGCATTTGCTTATAACTATCCTTCATTTTCTTTTTGCAATATGCAGTTTGCATTCACTGAAACAGTACAGAATTGCAACCGCAACATGCAGTTTGCATTCACTGAAGCAGTAAAGAATTGCAACTGCAATATGCAGTTTGCATTCACTGAAACAATACAGAATTACAATAATAACTTTTTTTTCTATTCATTATAATTTTAATTGTAGCCAATCGTTAATTTAGTGTTAACAATAGCTGAAATACAATTGTGGTCATTGCAAAATCCATTTTCGATGCCGACAGATGGTAGAAAAGAATGTTTGGATTATCAAAAAGCCAACGGAACCATAAAGAAGTGGGATTATGACGAATGCACCATCGATAACCATTGTTGCTTTTCAGCTCTTACTATCGGTATTTCGGTTTATGTCCTAATTGATATTAAATTAGAGTTATGAAAAGATAAGAGAGATGTTTTACATATGAAGCTAAGAATCAGATCAGATTGAGATAGATTGAATTGAGCTGTTAAGTAATATCAGCTAAATTGATGGAAATATTCAGATGTAGACTGATAAATGTAATTTGAATTGATATGAAATCAATTAACTTGAAAATTATAAATTTGATATCTTCTATTTATCGTTCAAAAAAATTCATTCGTTTCTCTGTTATTTAATGCTTGATTAAAGAAATATCTTTTACAAAAAATTTATAATTTGATAAGCGAAATATGATATTATTTCATAGCTTCCGGAACAGTACCGTATATGAGTATTTTTCAGATCAATCAGGAAAGTTTGTTGTTGAAGCAGGTGGCTGTCGAGATGATTTCCAATTATTTCTAATTCAACATTCGGATATTCAAGTTCATCCAATTGATCTTTTACCCTTTTTAGGACAGTTTAGTGATGAAAAAATCCTGGAGTATTGTGAGGTAAATGAAAAGTGTCATTTTGAGAAAATCATTTCCGGATTTTCGACTGATAATGAATGCATAATTATTACGCAATATATTGCTACCGAACTCTAATTGTTTATTCATTTATAGTTTGAAATGTGTCTCGCAAGTGCAACACCAAATAATCATTGGAGGATTTGCACATGTCATGAGGATAAATGCAACGAAGATGGTATTGATGAAATGATAAGAAAGTACATGACTGTTAAGCCATGGGAAACGAGCACTCTATCGCTGAAACTCTTCGATCACAATATTGAAGTAATTTTCGACGTGGAATAATTGATTATTTTGAATTGAAACTATTTGTTAAATTAACCGATAAAATAATTGAGCGAGAATTATTGTATTTAGAAAAAAAAAAATATTTTGTAAATTTCAGCTTTTGATTTTGTTTCCAATAAACGGAATTAAACCATCAAATATAGGCCAGGTTAACTTGCCAAGTTTTTCAGGCTTAATTTTTGTTCCCTTAGTTTTAGCATTACTTATTTAATATGTAAGATCTGATATTATTAAACTAATATAAACTTTCCATATTTTTAAATGTTGCAATTTCTTCACCTTTTACTTTATTATTCCTTCAATATCTTTGTAAACATAACAATAATGATTGGGATGGATGAGAGCATCCGAGAGAACATCATCACTGTCAATTTTGTGTCAGTTAGAAATAATACTCTCTGTGGTGGAAGTTATTTTTGTTATTTGATGGTGAAGGTAAATTGGTATAGAAAATATAACTGGAATAAAGATTTCATTTCCTTACGGCGATTAAATTCTTGGATATTAAACAAAGCATATCAAAACTTTAACTACGAATATTTGAGGTTGAAAGATTTCAATAACATTGATTTAATTAATATTATGATACTTTGATTGTTTAAATATTTTATATTATATAGTTATTTCAGGTTATCAACATCTTATGGTTCACATTGATTGTTATCAAGATGTTGATAACCTGAAATAACAAGCTTCATGTGAAACGCACTCTTTCTTTCTGCAAACAACTGAACTTTACTTATGACGGATAACTTATAAATGTAGCGATCGATATATGATAAAACGAAATCATTTAAAGTGTGTTAGAAAAATTGCTATTAAAGAATACGAAAATGTCTTTGCTCCAAATATGTTAATCTTTGCAATATATAAACAATACTCTGAAATGTTTGAATCTTTCAAAATAATTCAATTTTTAAAGTATGCAAAAACTAAAATCGAATGAAATGAAATTGTGCAAACAATGCTGCCAGTGCTTTGCATAAATTATTTGTCACAGTTCAATACAATAGTTGAAATAAAATTATTTAGTATGATAAATTAAACATCAATTGCTGTTATTATATTGTTAAACATAAATTATTAATACACGTTGTTCGTCAATCTCACCGTTATAAGCATTTACAGATATGATCTTTTGACAGTTTCTAATAAAAGCTTCTTGGCGATCGTTGTCCTTCCACAAATTTCATTCAGTAAACACTATTTTATTTATTTCAACAAAGATGTCAGCCTCTTCCCAAAATTTCGCGTTGTGTGGAAGATTTTAAGACATTGCAATAAAACTATAAATAAGCAGCCTTTTTTGAAATCAGAATTACCTGCTTTTATATGAAGTTTATAATTTGAACACCCGCGGGCGATTCCCAACAGGAATAAGTTGTTATGATTATTATTTAAATGAACAAAGCCTTTATTTTGTTAGCAATGAATGCGTGATGTTGCGTTTTCGATGCTAATATATTTCGAAATGCATTGTTCTTGGAAAATTTCGTATTTAAAGCAGTTAGTCAAATAGCGTTCGATGTGATTTCTTAAAGTGTAAAATTCATAGTGTAAAGGAAAAATTGAATATTTTTAGGATCGGCAAGAAATTATATCAATCAATATGCATTTCATCCATTTCATCTTCCTCGCCTTTTTCTTCCAATTAAACATCCAAACTTCAGTGAGTTCATTAATGATTTAAAATAATTGAGCACCTAAATATTTCAAAGATATCAAATATTCAACGTTAAATGAGATGGATAATTTCATATATTTTCAGGAAGCACAAACGGTACAAACAGAACCGTTGGATTTATCGGTGCGGAAAGTGAGTGAGGAACGAATACAATTACAGAATTTATCAATTAATGAAACGAATAAAGGACTGATGGAAAGTTTCCCTCAATCATCGCATTTGAGTGCTCATAAGAAGACGCATACTCGTGAAAAGCCGCACAGTTGTACGATATGCGGGAAAAGTTTCTTTGATTCATCGCATTTGATAAGACATAACATGATTCATACCGGTGAAAAGCCGCACAGTTGTACGATATGCAATCAAAGTTTTTCTCAATTTACGGATTTGAAAAGACATATCAGGATTCATACCGGTGAAAAGCCATACAGTTGTACAGTATGCAATAAAAGTTTCTCTCAATCATCGGTTTTGAGCAGGCATATCAGAACTCACAGCGGTGAAAAGCCGTACAGTTGTATGATATGCAATCAAAGCTTCTCTCAATCAGCGCATTTGATAAGACATGAAAGGATTCATACCGGTGAATAGCCTTACAGCTGCGCGATGTGCAATCAAAGTTACTGTCGTTCAACGAATTTGAAGGAACATATGAAGACTTGCACCGTTAAAAAGCTGTGCAATTGTCCGAAATGCAAGAAACGTTTCTATAAAAAGTGATAAATTTAAAAAGCACATGCAAACTCATAGTAATAATTAGCTTCTTTTGAATTTAGTTTTATGTAACCAAAGTTTCCTAAAGCATTTTGGAATCACAAATGAAAAATTAAACAAAAATACTCGCTGCTATTTTCGATACTGCGAATTGTTTCGGTATTTCGTTAATTGAATTTAATTATTCTTCTATAATTTGATTCACAATTCAATTATTCATTCATTATTTTTAGTTCTTTTCATTTTTTGCTGTTATTGTTATTCCTTACCTGTATGCTGTTCACTTTGTACCCGACAGTTAATTATTATGATTTTACTGCTATTCATTTACTATTTCTCTTTGTTTCATTTCAACGAATAAAATTCTCTGTATCGTTTATTTGCTCGCACACTTATTGGACTTATTGGACAGACAGCCATTGTAGTATTTATTATTGGTTTAACCAACTGTAAAATGTTGAAGGACCATTCTGTAATTTTTGCCGAAACATAATTCCATCTTTCATAAATGACCAAATTGAGGAATAATTTGAGAGATGAATTGAGAATTGAAATAGCCTTAAAGGATACGGCGCAAATGATAATAAAAGATATAAATAAATATTAAAAAACAAAAGAAATAAAAATTCAAACAAATTTAAGATAATGCAGAATTGATTAGTCTAATACCACGATAATAGCCTGCACATTAATGGAATAATAAAATGACTTTTTCCTCACAAGTTTAAGTTTTTTATAAATCTTTTCAACTAAATATTTAGCATGGAGTCGGCTATCTTGAGGGTGCTTCGTCTATGTGATTCGAAATTAAGAGAAGTCAGGATGTATTCAATAGTCGGATTCAAGAAATTTTTGACTTGCCATTTTGCCATATCACACTAAACGAAAAGACCTGCTACCATTTACCGTGCGATTTTCTTGCAATGTAAAATTTGAAATAATTTTTTGTAATTATTATAGCAATCAAAAGGATTGCTTATGAGCTATCTTAAAAACATTGAATGAATAATAAAGGAAAAAGTAAGATGCTGAAATTAAAACATTTAAAAATGCAAAAAGTTTAGCAGAAGGAAAGAACTTTGTAAATATTCTACCAATAAGTTACACATTTATTATATTTGAAGGAAATATCAAGTCGAATCGAAAAATGCAATGACAAATTGTTGGAATTTAAAATCTAGGCTTTGTATCGGACAGTAAATCAGTATTACTTTACTCTATTCATTTATTATTTCTCTTTATTTCATTTCAATGATTAGAAATCTTTGTATCGTCTTTAATTCGTTAAAATTTATTTAGCATTTCTTAAGACTGTCACATTTTTACCCATTTTCATTATTAACTTTTGAATTGTATTAATTAAGCGATTAAATTAGAATAATAACAGAACTGAACTGATCGAAGAGTTCTACTAGAAATTTTTCATCCGTCAGAAATTTTTTGGCAGTTTTAACAAAATAAATTAACTGACTGTTTACGGATCCTGCTGATGAACGGTTATTTTTATAATTATTTTTAGCTCATTCTTATCGGAATCTCCTGATACACCAACATTTAATGCTTTTTCATTCTGGGAATTGAAGTGTTTAAGTGCATATGTTTAATTTAAATAATGGATAATGATTTTATAATCAATAAATTATAATCATTAAATAATCATAATCATAATCATTAAATGCATATGTTAACTTAAATGATGATGGAAAATCGTTTAAAAATTACAGACTGACTCATCAACATTCTATGTGTGATTAATCATCCCATAATTAATACAACAATGATTGTCTGCGAGCAGATAAACAGTACAGAGAATTTTATTCATTAAAATGAAATAAACAAAAATTGTAAATAAATACCAGCAAAATAATACTAATTTACTGTTAGGCACAAAATGAATAATAAGGAATAACAATAAAAACAAAAAATGAAAGGAACTGAGAATTATGAATGAATAATTAAATTGCAAGGATTCAATTAACGAAATACCGAAACAATTTGCAATACCGGAAATAGCAACGAATATACCAGTTTAATTCTTCATTTGTAATTTCAAAATGCTTTAGGGAATTTTGGTTGCATAAAATTCAATTGAAAAAGAATTACTTATTACTATGACTTTGCATGTGATCTTCAAATTTATCACTTCGATAGAAACGTTTCTCGCATGTCGGACAATTGTACAGCTTTTTAACGGTACAAGATTTCATATGTTTCTTCAAATGCGATGACTGAGAAAAACTTTTCCCACATAACGTACAACTGTACGGCTTTTCATTGGCATGAGTTCTCTCATGTTGTCTCATATTGGATGGATCAGAGAAACTTTGATTGCATATCGAACAGCTGTACGGCTTTTCACCAGTATGAATCCTCTCATGTCTGCTTAAATCCGCTAATCGCGAGAAACTTTTCCCGCATATCATACAACTACGCGGGTTTACATCAGTATGAATCCTCTCATGTCTTATCAAACACAATGATTGAGAAAACCTTTTCCCGCACATTGCACAACTGTGCGGCTTTTCACTGGGATGAATCCTCTCATGTCTTCTCAAATTCCATGAACAAGAGAAACTTTGATTGCATACCGAGCAGCTGTACGGCTTTTCACCAGTATGAATCCTCTCATGTCTTATCAAATTGCATGAGAAAGAGAAACTTTGATTGCATACCGGACAGCTGTACGGCTTTTCACCAGTATGAATCCTCTCATGTCTTATCAAATTCCATGAGAAAGAGAAACTTTGATTGCATACCGAACAGCTGTACGGCTTTTCACCGGTATGACTCCTCTCATGTCTTATCAAATGCGATGAATCAACGAAACTCTTCCCACATATCATACAACTGTACAACTTTTCACCGGTATGCTTCTTTTGAGCACTCAAATGCAGTGATTGAGGGGTACTTCCCGTCTGTCCTTTATTCGCTTCATTAATTGATAAATTCTGTAGTTGTATTCCTTCCTCACTCACTTTCCGCACCGATAAATCCAACGGCTCTGTTTGTACCGTTTGTGCTTCCTGAAATTATATGAAATTATCCATTTCATTTAACTTTGAATATTTTTTAAATCTTTAATGAACTCACTGAAGTTTGGATGTTTAATTGGAGGAAAAAGGCGAGGAAGATGAAATGGATGAAATGCATATTGATCGATGTGACTTCTTGCCGATTGTGATATTCAAATCTATCAATACACGAAATTACATAATACATACCAATACATAACGCGAAATTTTTATAGAGGCTGATATTTTTCGTTTAAATAAATCAAATAGTTTTTGCTGAATGAAATTTGTGGAAAGGCAACGATCGCCAAATAACTTTTATTAGAAACTGTCATAGGATCATATTTGTATATGCTTATAAAGGTGGGAATGACTAACAACGAGTATTAATAAGTCATGTTTAACAAAAAATAACAGCAATTGATGTTTAATCTATCATACTATTATATTGAACAACTGTGACAAATAATTTATGCAAAGCACTGGCAGCATTGTTTGCACAATTTCATCCCATTTCATTTGATCCAATAGACACTTCATTATTCCATTACCGTATAAGCTATTATCATGATATCAGATAAATCAATATTGCATTTATATTAACACATAAGCTATTATCATGGCAGCAATCAATTTACAACTCTAAATAGTCAGTTTATTTACAACTATAAATAAATTTATCAATTTATTTTCAACTGTAAAAAACATTTGAATTGTTAGATAATTGATTTCAATCATACTGAAAATATAATAAATCCGCCTGCAAAAGTATACTCTTTTTTTAAACAATTTTTAACGATGTTTGAAAAGAAGTGACAAATTTTAAATATTAGAATAATACAGCTGGCAATGTATAATTAGCATAAATGGAAACTAAGTCTGTACGGTATTGAATGATTTCGTCGACGTCCTTTAATTCAATATTGTATGCAAAATAATTTGTGCATTGTTATAGAAATTTCTGGTTTTTAAATTTTTGTGAAATCAATTAATTGAAGGAAACATGCGCATTTGAGGAAACATATAAAGGCTTGTACCGTTAAAAAGCTGTACAATTGTCTGACATGCGAGAAACGTTTCTATCGAAGTGATAAATTTAAAGAGCACATGTAATGTCATAGTAATCAGTAGCTTTTTTGAATTGAATTTTATGCAACCAAAGTTTCCTAAAGCATTTTGAAATCACAAATGAAAAATTAAACTGAATCACTCGCTGCTGTTTCCGATACTGCAAATTGTTTCGGTATTTTGTTAATTGAATTCTTGCAATTTAATTATTCATTCATAATTTTTAGTTTTTTCCATTTTTTGCTGTCATCATTATTTCTTACCTGTATATTATTCATTTTATACCTGACATGTAAATTAACATTATTTTAATGGTTATCTGCTTGCAAACTTATTGGACAAACAATCATTGTTGTATTAATTATTGGTTGAACCAATTGTAAAATGCTGACGAACCATTCTGTAATTTCTACAATGTTCAAAAATCCTAAATATAATTCCATTTTTCATAAACGATCAAATTCAGGAATAATTTGAGAAATCGTATCCCAATTTGTGCAAAGCTTAATTGAAAATAAATTAGAAATTAAAAAGGATGAATTGAGAATTGAAATAACCTTAAAGGATACGACGCAAAAGATAATGAATGATGAGAATAATTATTAAAGAGCAAAACGAATAAAAATTGAATACTCATATAAGGTAATGTTCCGGAACCTATGAAATGCATTGAGCATATTTAACATATCCGTTCATGATGTCATCTCAGAAAAAATGGCTTCAAAAATTTGTTGAAAATTGAAATGAATTTGAGATATGTACCGAACAATGGGAGAATTTAAAAAGCGATATTATGAATTTCTTGCTACCAGTTTTAAGAACTAATTTTTTAAAACCTTTTCAGATCGCTAATTTTGAAAATTTAAATAGGAAAGCATTTAATGAAAAGAAAAAGATCCGAATGTTATTTCAGGATGATGCAACTCTTTAAAAATATATAGAAAGAGAAAAATAATAATTAACATTGAAACAATGAAATGGAAAAGCAATTTGGAGAGGTCATCCAGGGGTCATGATGACTTGTCGCGTTTGTAATGGATATTCATTCGGTGCATAATTCATTAACTCATCTCTACGAAGAATCATTGAATAGATCGATGAAATTAAATTAAAAATTAACATCAGATGAAAATCGTTATGCTTGAAAAAATTAACTCCAACTTTTGCTATTTCATTTCTGAATTGTATCCACCAATT